GTGCGTGCGTGCGTGCGTGCGGGCGTGTGCGTGCGTGCGTGTGTGTGTGTGTGTGTGTGATGATAAGATGACAAGATGACAAGAACAAGATTTGTAATATTGTTAGATATTTATGAGTATAGAATTAAAATAACACATTTTTTCAATATTAGATTGACAAAGTCAGACAGATGTTCTCTCTGCCGTCGTTGTGTTTTTCGACGTCAGAGCCAACTGTATGAAAGTCCTGTCCTACCGCGCGCAAAGCGCGTCTTTTGAGCCACCTCCCTCTGGTTACCGAATTTTGCAATGAGAGCGCTAAATTTGAATTTCTTATCAGAGATCTAACACGGCCAAACTGACATCAATCCACTCTCGGAATGCCTAGAAATGTTTGTATAAATAGTGTCACTAATACAGTTTAAAACAAGATTGTTTTTATTTTTTCAAAACATTAATTAAAACAAACAGAATAAAAACAAGTCACAAAAAAAAATTGCTGTGTAATGCCACTTCACGCGTGAATAGGTGTTAAAATGTTGATATTTTCAGATAAATTTTCCCCCATCATCTGTCTCTGGGCCATCAACATTTGCTGTAATAGATAAATTAATGTAATTTACCCGTTTCGAGTTACCAATTCAATTTGTTAAATCCGTATAACTCATGCAAAGAGTTCAGGGACGGCAATGTATAAATGGTTCACTAAAAGACACGATGGAAATACTGCAAAATGAACGTATTTACGATGGGTCTCTGAGGTAACAAAACATTTAAAGACACGATGGAAATACTGCAAAATGCACGTATTTACGATAGGTCTTTGAGGTAACAAAACATTGAAAGACACGATGGAAATATTGCAAAATGCACGTATTTACGATGGGTCCTTCCAAATGTACAGATCTAACACGGCAAAGCATAATAGAAAAAACAACAAGTACTCACAATTGTTTAATTGTAGCAAGTATTCAAAATCGTCAGGAATCCAATCTGTAGGCCAAAGACGTAACTGATCCTTTGAACATTTCAAAGTTCGCTTGGTACCAATTTTACGAAGTGAGAAACGATCATCAGCAAGTATTGTATTGTTTTAATAACGTATGGCCCAACAAATTCACAATTGAATTTGTTTGACCTTTGACCCCTACTCAAGAGAACTGCATCATCAATTTTGTACTTTTGATTGTTTCTACGTTTTTTATTTTCTATCACGCGCGCTCACTATGGGACCTATAGTGTAGGGGGTTAGGTGCACGGAAAGTGCTAGATTGTACAACAGCGTGATGTTATTTTCATAGCGCAACGCTCCAGCGGGCCAGACGTCAGGTACCGCGGAAAGACCTGCTAAGTACCCGGAGTCGGAGTCCAGGTGTGCACCTTACCTTGAGCGCCACGGAAGAGACCTACTAAACGCTCTGGTTAGGACACCCAGAGGAGGGTTGAGTGCCGTGGAAAGACCTACTAAGCACTGTCTGGTGTAGGTGACTCTGTTGCTTTTATACAGAACGGCTGGTAGTGCCGTGTGCAACTCCAGCCGTTGAAACGGCGACTTCGTGGGCCGTGTGCAAAATCGCGGTGCGCCAAACAATTATAATACAGCGGGAGCAAAATAAAATAAGTTCATTACTAAAATATAAATGAAATCCCGAAAATAAAAAAAAGGTTCATTACATCCCCCTCTCTTCGTAAAAAAAAATACATTTTTTTCTAACCTCAATCTAATATAACAAAAAAATTACTAATTCTACTTTTACTAGCACAGTACGGTAGTGATTACAATCGGGTAATCCCTGACACGGAGGGTTCGTCTTCTCGTCTCGGGGCGGCCAGCCATTTTACCCCTTCCGGAGTAATTAGCCGCAACCTNTTTTTGTATAGTAGCAACGAAGGCACTGTGGCGAATAAAATCCACCATCTTATAGGGTAGAAGTAACAT